ACGGCCTGGTGAGGTCATGCCATTCCCAGCTGACTCAGTCAGAGCCGAGGTGCCGCCATTGCGCGTTATGTGGCATTACGGAGCGGATTTGATACCCAGACAAGGTGTTATCAAGGCTGACGGAGGCCCGCATGCTTTCTCACGCCATTCGGCTGCAGTGTTGATTGGTCTCTGGCACCGTCAGTGATTTATTACAGCTGTCGGACTCAGGTTCAGTTTGAGGGAGACTAAGGAGGGAAGAAGGGAGGGTGGGAGGCACTGGGGTCCGCAGTTAAACATTAATACATACATAAAAAGGCCGACACCTCCTCCTCCTCCTCCTCCTCCTCCTCCTCCGCGTCCTCTTCTTCAGTCAAAGAATCACACTCGTGGTATGAAGTGAATGAATGGAAAGATTGATTTCATGAGCAAAGTCGATTTATGGGGTCAAAACTGAGAGGATTTAGAAAACAGATTTTGACAAGAGGGCCTGACTTTACGGGCTAATAAAGCAGTGTGTGGGTTTGAAGGCAAAGGGTGGCGGCGACACTGGAAGAATACTGGTGGCCTCTCATCTGTCCCTCACTTAAAGTACAAATCATGAACTTTGAAGTAATAATTTGACATTTTATTGTTAGCTTTCTGGCGGAGAGTTAGATGAAGAAATCAACACCTCTCTTTTATATCTTCTATATAAAGCTACAGCTAGCAGCTAGTGAGCTTAGCTTAGTTTAAAGACTGTCCAAAGCAAACCAAAATCCACCCACCAGCGCCTTTAAAGTTCATATGTATTTCCCAAAATGTCAAACTTTTCCTTAAAGGGTTATACATACAAAAACACGTCAGACCAAAAACAATGGGCATTACAGCCAACCAGACTCCATTGAAACTAGGCAGAGACAAAATTAAACTCATCAAAAAACGTCTTTGTTAGTCTAACCAACAATCACCAACACTGGTTTGGTCAAAATAAATGTTTAATTCACAGAGTTAGATGACAAAATAGATGCAAAATGGGCTGATATGGCTGCCATGTAATGTTAGCTAATTCTTGAGGACAAATGCTCCCCATCAAAGTATGTACACTAAAAGTAGTAGTTTTTGCCACTGACAGGCTCAGATTGCTATTATAAGTGTCTGACAACATTATAGAAAGGATCCCTACAGATATAGACCATCAGTTTAACCAGAAACAGCCATAATATTGCTATCACTCTCCACCAGACTCCATAGACAAAAAAAGCACTCCACTGTATCTTTACATAGCATAGTGTAGTTGTTTCTGCTATATTAATGTTTTAAAT